CAAATAGCGGTTCAACCCCCCCCCCTTGATGAAGAAAAAGACAGCAAAGAGGTTCACGTCGCCCGGATTGGCGTCACCGGGGCCCCACTCTGGAGCCAGGCCCGGGGTTGGGGCTCGCAGGCGAGCGCCTGGTGGCCGGGTCCTTGCTCACGGGACTCGGCCGGGCTCAGCCCGAACAAGCGACGTGAGTCCGCTTTCCAGTGGGCCCACCACCCGCAGGAAGGCCCACAAGGGGCCGGTGCCTTGTGATTTGGGTGGCGGTTGTGGGCGGAGACCACGACGGCCCAATCCCTGGACAACCACTCTAGCTATGGGGACATGGAATGTCACCTCGCTGGGGGGAAAGGAGCCTGAGCTCGTGCAGGAGGTTGAGAGATACCGACTAGATATAGTCGGGCTCACCTCCACACACAGCTTGGACTCTGGGACCCAACTCCTTGAGAGAGGCTGGACCCTTTTCTACTCTGGAGTTGCCCGCGGTGAGAGACGGCGTGCTGGCGTAGGCTTACTTATAGCCCCCCAGCTTGCCAGTCGTGTGTTGGAGTTCTCCCCACTGAGTGAGAGGGTCGCTTCCCTGCGCCTTCGGGTCAGGGACAGGTGCCTCACTGTAGTTTCGGCCTACGGGCCGAACAGCAGTGCAGAATACCCGGCCTTCTTGCTGACACTGAGAGGAGTACTGGACAGTGCTCCTCCCGGGGATTCCATCGTCCTGTTGGGGGACTTCAACGCCCACGTGGGCAACGACAGTGACACCTGGAGGGGCGTGATTGGGAAGAACGGCCTCCCCGATCTAAATCCGAGTGGTGTTTTGTTATTGGACTTCTGTGCTAGTCACAGTTTGTCCATAACAAACACCATGTTCAAGCATAAAGGTGTCCACCAGTGCACTTGGCACCAGGACACCCTAGGCCGGAGGTCAATGATCGACTTTGTAGTCGTGTCATCTGACATCCGGCCGTATGTATTGGACACTCGGGTGAAGAGAGGGGCTGAGCTCTCAACTGATCACCACCTGGTGGTGAGTTGGCTCCGCTTACGAGGGGCAAAGCTGGATAGACCTGGCAGACCCAAACGTATCGTGAGGGTCTGTTGGGAACGTCTGGCAGAATCCCCGGTGAGGGGGGCCTTCAACTCCCACCTCCGGGAGAGTTTTGAACAGGTCCCGAGGGAGGCTGGAGACATTGAGTCTGAGTGGACTATGTTCTCCACTTCCATTGTTGATGCGGCTGTCCGAAGCTGCGGACGTAAGGTCTCCGGTGCCTGTCGTGGCGGCAATCCCCGAACCCGGTGGTGGACACCGGAAGTAAGGGAAGTAGTCAACCTCAAGAAGGAGTCCTATCGAGCCTGGTTGGTTCGTAGGACTCCTGAAGCAGCCGAAAAGTACAGGCAGGCCAAGCGGACTGCAGCTCGGGCAGTCGCGGAAGCAAAAACTCGAGTCGGGGAAAAGTTCGGGGAGGCCATGGAGGAGGACTATCGGTCGGCCTCGAAGAAATTCTGGCAAACCATCCGGCGCCTCAGGAAAGGGAAGCAGTTTCCCACCAC